AGTATTGGTGGGGGTGGGGCACAGCTCTGTCCCCACTGGAAGATTGGTCCCCAAGTATTGGTGGGGGTGGGGCACAGCTCTGTCCCCACAGAATGATTGGTCCCCAAGTATTTGTGGGTGGGACACAGCTCTGTTCCCACAGGATGATTGGTCCCCAAGTATTGGTGGGAGGGACACAGCTCTGTCCCCACAGGAAGATTGGTCCCCAAGTATTGGTGGGGGTGGGGCACAGCTCTGTTCCCACAGGAACATTGGTCCCCAAGTATTGGTAGGAGTGGGGCACAACTCTGTCCCCACAGGAAGACTTGTCCCCAAGTATTGGTAGGGAGGGACACAGTTCTGTCCCCACAGGATGACAGAAATATGAGGACGGTGCAGGACTGGGCAGTGTTTCTGTTGTACCCAAAGTCACTACGGGTCACCGAAAGTCATCAAGTCAGATGATGCAGACCAACCATTCAGCTATTTTCTGATGAGACACCAGAAGCTCAACAACTTATAGTGACTTGCCAAAGGTCAATAGGTTCACCAGCACCAGCATCAGACCATGGACAAGAGTTCTATGATTCATAAACTGCAGTTCATTGACACTGTGCACTACTCTCCCTCAAACTATATGAGCAGTGGGCTGAGCAGAGTGGTCACACACAGGAGCTTTGAAGTCACACCTACCTGAGGTCCAGGTATCCCTTGGGGTCCCGGGAGACCTCTGGGTCCAGCATCCCCCTGTATCAGGAACAAAATAGGAAAGCAAGAATTAGTGATGGGGCCCAAGCTGGAGTCATCACCAAGTTTACCTTCCATTCAATGATTTCCCTGGAGCCCCAGTATGTTGAGCAGAGTGTGTTTGCAAGTGGTTGAGTCCACTGTGGTTGTGCCTCATAGTGTAGCCTACAGTAATTGGGTTAGCCTTCCTTCAAGGTACCTTATGACCTCTGACTTCCTGCAGTCACACCCTTTGGTAGTGTCCTCCCATTTGAACCAGGGTTGCTCTATATGGCCTAAGAACATGGCAGAAGTGTCCGGTTATATAACCTTCTGCCTTGGGCACACCATCTCTCTGACCATTAGTTCTGAAGAGAGCTACTTAAGGTACATTAATCTCACTCAGACAGTCCTTGTGGTGAGGAACTGAAGGTTCCAGCCAACAGCCTCACAAGTGAACTTGGAAGGGGACCCTCCACCAGCCAACTCTTGAGATGACCACAGCCCTGGCCACTTCATGAGAGACCCTGAGGCAGAACCTCCCAACTCCACTACTGCTGTGTTCCTGACCCTCAGAAATGGTAATAAATGTTTCTTGTTTTAAGTTTCAAGATAATTTATACCACAGCCATAAATGGAGGAGAAAGAAGACCTGTTTCAATAAGAAAATGAGTAAGGTAAAGAATATATACATGTGTGTATATGTGTGTGTAAATGTATATGCATTGTTATGGTTGTTAAATGCCACGGAGTCACTTCTGACTCATAGTGACCCTGGATTGGGTTTCCAAGGCTGTAAATCATTGGCAGGAACATAAAGCCTAATCTATCTCCTGAAGAGCAGCTGATGGGCTCAAACTGTCAACCTGGTGGTTGGTCATTGAGTGCTTATCCTATAAAATCAGAGCCACTGCCCCAGATATATGTATATTGCTGTTGTTGTTAAGTGCCGTTGAGTCAGTTCCAACCCATAGTGACCACATATGGGGTTTCCAAGGAGTGGCTGGTGAGCTTGGACCACTAACCTTAAGGTTCAAGCTGAATTGGCAGTCCAGCACATTAACCCACAGCACCACAGCAAGACTCCAATACCAACATGAACAACATCTATATCTATATATCTACCTATCTATCTACACTTATCTACTTATCTATCTACCTGTATTTTTCTATAGCTAACTCTCATCAGACAATATCTTTGATATCCCATGCAAGTAAAGTTTTACTAAAAGTAATACAGAAACGGCTGCAAGCATACTTTGACAGAGAATTTCCAGAGGTTCAAGCCAAATTCAGAAGAGACTGTGGAATGAAGGATATCATTACTAATGTCTGATGGCTCTTGGCTGAAAGCAGAGAATATCAGAAAGATGTTTACTTGTGCTTATTCACTACACAAAGGCTTTCGACTGTGTGGATCATGACAAGCTATGGACAACACTGCAAAAAATGAGTATTCCAAGAACACTTAATTGTGCTCATGAGGAATCTGTACATGGACCAAGAGTAAGTTGTTCAAACAGAACATAGGGACAATGAATGGTTTAAAATTAACAAAGGTGAGTAACAGGGTTATATTCTTTCACCATATTTATTCAACCTGTATGGTGAGCAAATAATACGAGAAGCTGGGTTGTATGAAGAAAAACATGGAATCAGGATTGGAGGAAGACTCATTAACAACCTGCGATATGCAGACGATACAACCTTGCTTGCTGAAAGTGAAAAGGACTTAAAACATTTACTGATGAAGATCAAAGGACACGCCTTCAGTATGGATTGCACATCAATGTAAAGAAAACAAAAATCCTTACTACTGATCAATAAACAACATTCTAATCAATGGAGAAAAGACTGAAGTTGTCAATGACTTCATTCTTCTTGGATCAACTATCAACACACATGGAAGCAGCAGTCAAGAAAACAAACAACATATTGCATTAGGCAAATCTGCTACACAAAACCTTTTTAAAGTGTTGAAAAACAAAGATATCAGCTAGAAGAATAAGGTGCGTCTGACCCAAGCCATGGTATTTTCAATAACCTCATATACATGCGAAAGCTGGACAGTGAATAAGGAGGACCGTAGAAGAATTGATGCTTTTGAGTTATGGTGTTGGAGGAGAGAATATTTAAAGTACCATGGGCTGCCAGAAGAAGAGAGATGTGTTGGAAGACGTGCAGACAGAGTGCTCCTTAGAGGCCAAGATGGCCAAACTTCATCTCTCATAATTCGGGCATACTGTCAGGAGGTACCAGTCACTGAAGAAGGATATCACGTTTGGGAAAGTGGAGGGTCAGAGAAAAAGAGAAAGACCCCCAGTGAGATGGATTTGGAAAGTGGAAGCATCAAATGGCCAAAGTGTGGCAACAATAGTGAGGTTGGCCCAGGATCAGTCAGTGTTTTGCTCTGCTGTGCATAAGTCACTATGTGTCAGTACCAACTTTATGGCACCTAACAACAACCACAACAACTCTCTATATAGTAACAACAACACATATGTATGTGCATATACACACACCTTGTATATACCCTGCCATTATTTTCATTGATTATAACCTTTTGAAAGTCAGCACAGTGTAAGGGAGCTCCCTGACCTTGAGGAAGTACTGTCCAGTTGGGAGAACCAGCTCCCCAATTACATGTCAGGTCCTACTGGAGGGATTGAGAGGTGGGTGGAAAGTTGACTTAGTGAATGGTTCTAGATTTTTATTTCTGATGACGTGATTATCAGGAGAATTGGATTAAGAGAAAGTTTTGTTGCTGTTAGGTGTCATTGAGACAATATCGACTCATAGCGACACTATATACAACAGAACGAAACACTGCCCGGTCCAGGGCCAACCTCACAATTATTGCCACACTTGAGCCCACTGATGCTGTCACTTTGCCAAT